TCAATTTGTCATGATATGTAATCATTTTAATATGCTGCCAAATGCAGTTTGCTATTGGTGTGTTGTTTTTTCTGTGGGATCTTGTCTGGCTTTGGTATCAGGGTAATACTTGCCTTATAAAATGAGATGAGAAGTATTTCTTTCTCCTTAGTTTTTGGTAAAAGTTTGAGAAGAACTGGTGTTAGTTCTTCTTTGAATGTTTGGTAAAATTGGTGTTAGGCTAGGACTTTTCTTTGTTGGGAAATATTGTATGACTGATTTAATCTCCTTACTAGTTATAAGTCTATTTTTTTGTGATTCAGTCTTGGTAAGTCTTGTGGTTTGAGGAATTTGTACATTTTATCTAGACCCTAGATATATTGGCATACAATTGTTCTTTGTATTTTCTTATCATTTATTTCTTTAGAATCAGTAATAATGTCTACCACTTTCATTTCTAATTTTAGTAATTTGAGTCTTATTTCTTCTTTCAGTCCATCTAGCTAAAGTTTTTTCAGTTTTGTTGATCTTTTCTTTTTGGTTTCCTTGCTTTTCTGGGGCTTTTTCCCCCCTTCGTTTTGTTATATTTGCTCTCATCTTTCTTATTTACTTCTGCTTCTAGCTTTGTGATGTATTTGTTACTTTTTCTCTAGTTTATTACATTGTAAAGTTAGGTTGCTGATTTGAGATTTTCTTGCTTTCTCATGTAAGCATTTATAAAGCTTAACTTTCCCTCTTAGCACTATTATTGCTGTGTCCCAGATTTTTTTTTTTGTATGTTGACTTGTCATTTTTTTTTATCTCGAAGTATTTTCTAATTTTTCTTATTTCTTCTTTGATTCATTGATTGTTTATGAGTATATCATTTAATTTCCACAATTTTGAGATTTTCAAGTTTTACTTCTATTATTTATTTCTAAATTCATTCCACTTGGTCAGAGAAGATACTTTGTATGATATTTATCTTTTTACATCTATCAAGACTTAATTTGTAGCTTAACTTATGGTCTGTCCTGAAACATTTCCCATGTGCACTTAAGAAGAATGTGCATACTATTCTTGTTTGATAAAGTGTTCTGTATATGTCTGTTAGGCCTAGCTTGCTTATTGTGTTGTGTAAACCCTCTGTATCCTTACCTCTCTTCTGTTCAGTTGTCCTATTCGCTATTAAAAGGGGGTTAATGAAATCTCCAGCTATTATTGTATAACTATTTATTTCTTCCTTCAGTTCTGTCAGTTTCTGCTTCATATATTTTGATGATCTTTTATTAGGTGTATAAATGCTTATAATTTTTACATCTTCTTGCTGTATTGAGCCTTTTATTAGTATATAATGTCTTGTCTTTTGTAACCTTTTAGATTTAAAGTATACTTTTTTTCTGATATTAATATAGCAACCCATGCTGTTGTGGTTACCATTTGCATGGAATATCTTTTCCCATCTGTTCAGTTTCAATGTTTTTGTGTCTTTGGATCTAAAGTGAATCTCTTGCAGACAGCACATTCTGTTGACCCTTGAACAACATGAGCTTGAGCTGTGCAGGTCTGCTTATATGTATAGTTTTTAACCAAACATGAATAAAAAACAGTATTCACAAGATGCAAAATCCACATACATGGAGGGCTAATTTTTTGTATATGCTGTTTCTACAGGGCTGACTGTGAGACTTGAGTACATGGAAATTTTGTTGTAAGTGGGGTTCTGGAGCCAGTCCACTGAGTATACCAAGGGCAACTGTACTTGACTAGTGTTTTTTAATCTATCTGTCTTTTCAAAGTAATTACTGACAAGGAAGGACTTGTGTCATTTTCTATTTATTTTCTATATGCCTTATAGAATTTTTTAATCTGTCTGTTTCTGTCCTTCATTTCCTGAATTACTGTCCTCTCTGGTATTTAGTTGAATTTTTGTAGGAAAATGTTTCCATTTATTTCTTATTTCCTTTTGTATATATTCTATAGCTATCTTCTTTGTGATTACCATGGGAATTCCACATAACATCCTAAAGCTACAGCACTCTAGTTTGCATTTATATCAAGTTAATTTCAATAACATACAAAAACTCTGCTACTTTACATCTCTGTCCCCATCCCTTTCAGGTTATGTGTGTGTGTGTGTGTGTGTGTGTGTGTGTGTGTGTGTGTGTGTGTGTGTGTTTAGTTGGGGTCTCACTTTGTTACCCAGGCTAAGGGCAGTGGCATGTTCACGCCTCACCACAACCTTGACCTTCTGGATTCAGATGATCCTTCCTCCATCAGCCTCTTGAGTAGCTGAGACTACAGGCATGCACCACCACACCTGGCTGATTTTTTAATTTTTTGTAGAGATGAAGTCTCATTATGTTGCCTAGTCTGGTCTCAAACTCGTGGGCTCAAGCAGTCCTCCCACCTTGGCCTCTCAGAGTGCTTGGATTATAGGCATGAGCCACTACACCCAGCTGTCAGTTGTCACAAAATTACACTTTTACACATTGTGTTCCCCAAAACATAATGATTCTTTTAAGTGCACTGTTTTCTTAAATTATTTACAAAACAAAATGTGTAATTACAAACCAAAGTTACAGTAACACTAGCTTTTAGACTAAGTTTTAAAAAATATATGTCTTTTAAATCATGTAGAAAACAAAAAGTGGAGTCACACAGTATTGTTACAATAGTACTAGCTTTTATAATTGTCCATGTATTTACCTTTATTGAGCTCTTTATTTCTTTATACAGCTTCAAATTGCTGCTTAGTGTCTTTTTATTTCACCTTGCAGGACTCCCTTCAGCATTTCTTGCAGGGCAGGTATAGTGGTAACAAGCTTCCTCAGCTCTTGTTTATCTGGGAATGTCTTAATGTTTCTTTCACATTTGTAGGGCAGTTTTGCTGGGTATAAGATTCTTGGTTGAGAGATCTTTTCCTTTTGAGTATGTCAGCCCACTGCCATCTGGCTTCTTGAGTTTATTATGAGAAATCTGCTGAAAGCCTCATTGAGACTCCATTATGTGTGATGAGTCACTCTTCTGTGACTGCTTCCAGGGTTCTTTGTCTGTGGCCTTTGAAAGTTTGAATATAATATGTCTTGGTGTGAGACTCTGAGTTCATTTTACTTGGAATTTATTGAGATTCTAGAATGTTCCTACTTATTTGTTTTATCAAATTTGAGAAGTTTTCAGTTATTTCTTTAAATATTCCCCTGACTCCTTTTTTCTCTTCTTCTGAGACTCTGGTGATGAATGAGTTGGTCCACCTGATGGTGTTCCATGGGCCCTTTGGGCCATGTTTATCTTTTTCTATCTTTTTTTCCTTTTTGTTCCTCAGACTTGATCATTTGTTTTGTCTTATTTTGAAATTTGCTGATTTTTTTATTTCTACCTAATCAAATTTGAATATTTTATTTTAATTGTTGTATTTTTCAGCTTCTCATTTTCTTTTTGGTTTCATTTTCTATCTGGTTCTCTATCTCTTTATTGATATTTTCATTTTATTCATACATCAATTTCTTGACTTTATATCTTTCTTTGAGCACTTGAATAGTTGTTTTAGTCTTTATGCTATAGATCTGCATCAGATTTTGGGGGGGCGCAATTCCTGTTGATTTACTTATTTTTTCCTCTGAATAGACCATACTTTTCTATTTATTTGCACTCCTTATGATCTTTTGTTGAAAAGTTGACAACTGAATGTAATATTGTGGAATTCTAAAATAAAGTACTTCTTCTCCCTGGGCTTGATTTTTTGATATTGTTTTGTTTATTAGTTTAATTTATGTTGATTGTTGTAGTCTGACTGTGTAACAAGGACCACCCTGAGATGTAAACTTAAAATCTTCCTGTTTTTTTTAGCCCTTCCTTCAGCATGCATAATCACTTTGTGATTTTCCCCATGGATGTGTTGTCTTATTCTCTAATGTCTGGCTCCCATAAAGTGGGAAGAGAAAAATGGGGGTGGTGGCCCTTTGAATGTTAAATGCTCCAGAAGTCACTTCTCCTGGCAGATGAGGGGGTTGCAACCTGGAGGATGTGCAACAGGAGTGGCTGCCCAATTCTTTGTCTGCAACTCTGTGATCAGAAGCATCAGTCAGCAATTTAGAGCACAGATCCCTGATATTTGGAGGACAGGGTGCTTTCTTCCACTCCTGACTCCTGCTAGCTGTGGGCAGATAACTCTGGATATGTGCATGGGGCTGAGAGGATGGGTGGGTAGCTATGATGTGCTGAGATCTGAAGTTGATGAAAGTAACTGCAATTTATAGCCAAGACCCTCCTGGAAGTTGCCAGCTTCAACAGACTCCAGAAATCCAAGGTGCTTGTGTCAGACCAATTTTTGCCAGTGCAATTATTGTTGGGGTGGGGAGACAGATTCCATTGCTTCCTACCCACCATTTTGCCAGAATCCTCTCCTATCACTTGTCCTTTAGCTCCTGTAATGGTTGATAGTACACAGACGTTTACAGAGGATATCTTATACCTGTTTGTTCTGTATAGACAGATAGACTCAGACCAAGGCACATACAAATATTAAAATTCATACAAATTATGAAACAAATTCTGTATTATTTTTTATTGAAGAATATTCTGTGCTAAATCACTGGATGTCTTTTCCATCTTTTCAGGGAGGGGTCTCTTGTGAGGGGCAGAACGTCTTCAAAAGTGACAGTGTCACACACAAGGTGCAGGAGTGAAAGGAGGAATCCAAAACAAGGCCCAACCCATAAAGCAATGATATGTAGTTGGGATTAATCAAGTGTCTGTATAATACCTTTTGTATATATAGATTTTACTATGTTAATGCATTTTGTTCTATGATCTGGAACATTACAGGTAATGTTACAGGTAAGGAAAATAGACACATTCAGCTGTCTTTTCTTATAGGGTTCTCCGCAAATAAAGGGTGATTGGGACCACGTGATATTTTATGTTCAATTGCATGTGCTCTTTTGTTGAAAAGTTGACAGTTGAATATAACTTTAAAGTAAAGCTATCCTTCTTCCCCTGGATTTAATTTTGTTGTTGTTGCTTTGTTTATACAATTACAGCTTGCCACAGCCACCCTGGATGGCAAACTTCAGCTGTTCCTAGCAGGGTAATTGCTAACCTGAGAACTGGCCCAGGAGTGCTGAGAGGATGCTGGGATGAAGGAAGAAGCCGTTCACCTGTCTCGGGGCCTACAGCAGTGACTGTCTTTATGGGTTGGGCCTTGTTTTGGATTCCTCCTTTCACTCCTGCACCTTGTGTGTGACACTGTCACTTTTGAAGACTTTCTGCCCCTCACAAGAGACCCCTCCCTGAAAAGATGGAAAAGACATCCAGTGATTTAGCACAGAATATTCTTCAATAAAAAATAATACAGAATTTGTTTCACAATTAGATTTTGAGAAAAAAAAGAGAAAGAATTACTTTTGGACAGGAAAAATTAAAAAATGAACAGTCCTAACTGACTCTGACCTTCCGGTGAATGTGCCTGTGGCTGTGCTTACTGGGCCACCCTTGTAAACTGGTGGCTCCTAAGCCTCTCCACCCATAGTTGATGATTGAACCACTAAGGGCAGGGCTTCCCACATTGCCGGGACAAGTTCATCAGGGATGAGTCGACTCTGCACATGTCAGACTCCCAAGATCCCAGAACATGATCTGTGGAGGGTCCTTGAAGAGATAGGAACCTCCTAGGATGGGGCAGAGTTCCAGAAGACCCCAGATGTCCTCAGCAATACGTGGAGCTCTGGTCTCTACAGGGTTCTAGAAGAGGGAGGAGGTTCCTAGGACGGGCCAGGATTCCAGATGACCTCAACAATATGCAGTGCCCTGGTCTCTCTAGGGTCCTAGAAGAGCCAGGAAGCTCCTAGGATGGGCCAGGGTTCCAGATGACCCCAGACCCCAGGCGACCTCAGCAGTATGCGGTGCCCTGGTCTCTATAGGGTCCTAGAAGAGTGAGGAGGCTCCTAGGACAGGCCAGGATTCCAGATAACCACCTGATGACCTCAGCAATGCCAAGACCCCAAGTTGCTGCAAGATCCTAGAAGAGTGATGAATCTCCCAGGATGGGCCAGCGTTCCAGATGACCCCAACAGTACATGGTGCCACTTTCGGGTTCCCTGGGATCAGCCTGCTTAGCCCTGCTTAGCATTATCTTGCCATCCGTGCTTAGCATTATCTTGCCCTGCTTAGCATTATCTTGCCATCCATGATTCGGGGAGGTGGGGCTGTTATCCTACCGGGCCTCCTGCTGGCTCCATCTGGCCCGGTTTCCCAGAGATCAGCATGCTATGACTTCGCCTCCCATGGAATGCCACAGGGTGACTTCCTGGGCGCTTGACTGGAGTTTTCCCACATTGACCACACATTCATACACATTTTCCTGCAGTGTTCTTCAGAAGCAAAAATTTAGAAGAACTCATTTTTATTTTTCGAACACTTAGAATTCTCCAGACATTTGTAACTCTGTTGTTTCCATATGTTAAAATGAAATTTGTTTAAAAGTAGTCAAAATGGGTAAATCAGTTTTATGGCAAGCAAGCCCATAGTCTTTTTTAATATTCTCAATTTCAGTGTATCATTTAAATTTTTTAAAATTTTGTTTTAAAGTTGGTAAATAGGAATGCATGTGTAATCTGTGCCACCTTGCCATGGGTGGACAGTTTAGTGGTGCTAAGTATATTCACATTGCTGTCAGTCATTACCAGCCGTCTCCAGAACAGTTTCATTTTGCAAATTGAAACTCTGATCCCCAAACACTGCCTCCCCATCCTTCCCTCTGCTCAGCCCCTGGCAAGCATCATTCCACTTCCCGTGTCTGTGAACTTGACGCCTCTAGGAACCTCAGCTAGGTGGAATCCTACAGTGTATATTTCTGTGATTGGCTTATTCACTGAGCACAGCGTCCTCAGGTTCTCCATGTGTTAGCATGGGTCAGGATCTTCCTCCCTTTTATGGTGGAATAATATTCCATTGTACATTAACACCACATTTTGTGTATCCACTTATCTGTTGATACACATTTGGGTTGTCTTTATTTTGTGGCTATTGTGAATAATGCTGCTATAAGATAGATATGCAAATATTTATTTAAGTTCCTACTTTTAATTTTTCTGAATATATGCCCAGAAGTGGAATTTCTGGAGCATATGGTAATTCAGTTTTTAGCATTTTGAGGGACCACCATGCTGTTTTTCGTGGCAGCTGCATGATTTCACATTCCCATCAACAGTGCATGAACATTTTGTTGTTTTTAACATATCAAGTTTTGTGTATGACTTTCAGAATAAATGTTAGTTTCTGGTATATATTGCTTTTTTTTTTTTTTTTTCTTTTTTAGAATGGTTAAATATTATTTATTTCCAATCCTCTGAGTGCTTTGGTTTTTATATAAGTTTTTCTACAGTAAGTTATGATTCCAGTTATATCAAATGTGACTCTAAGAAAAAACAAAATTAATGTAAAGAATAATAGTTGAATAATATGTCAAAGAAAAAGCTCTAATATATAAAATAAAAATCTACTAGAGAGTCCTATCAAGGGAAAATGTAGGATAAGATAAACTTAGAAACACCACTGCTAAGAAAAGACACTGTCAGGTCACAGCAACGCTCTGCCTGTGAGGACTTGCTGGGAGGGTGGCAGCCAGGAAGACAGAGCCCTGAGGGCCTTTTCATGGCTGAGACGGCATGGATTCAGCAGGTGTCCCCTGTGTGTTGCAGGCAAGCAGCGGCCCAAACCACCCAGCAGAGGAAGAGCAGGTCTTGCTCAGAAGTGGGCCTTGCTGATGGGGTGACATTTATGCTTGTATTATATGGACTATTCTTTGCTGTATTGCATGTTTCCAAGTCGTGGACAGTGTGTTCTAATGTAAAAGGGGCTGGTTGTCCCACCTGCATCAGAGAGCAATAACCACAATAATATATCAATAGAGTTTTTATTTTCAACTTGATTTCACTTCATCATCTCATCTGTGTGATAACCCTATGAGTTTGATAACCAGTGCCATTATTATTATCCTCATTTCCAAACACTTGACCAAAGCTGTGTCACAGACTGTGTGGTCGTGATGCACTCGGAAATCCATGTAAGGGCATTCTCTTCTAACACAAGATGGGCTGAGAGGAGCTGGTCTTTCCTGGGATCTCTGTGAACAACTGAGCCCAGTTTCTGACTGCACTGCAGGCAGGACAGGGGCCATCAAGGTATCAGGAGAGCTGCAGGCCGGGCGTCCTTCGGGTGCTATCGTCTGTAGAGCCCAGGTCATGAGGCATGTGCAGATGGGACCCTGGACCAGCTCAGCTTCCACCAGCCCCTGCAGTCCTGTTGCTGCCCCACAGGAACTTCCTGCCATGGTGGTCCTCACGCCGCCACCTGTGTAGCCAGATGTATGGGTGCGAGGTGGTGAGGAGGCCACCTGGGCACACGCCTGTGTCCAACTACCTGTGTCCACCTTGAGATCTCACAGCCCATCCAGGGTGAGCCCTGGCTGGGTCCAGCCTGCTCTGTCTCTGTAACAAGATAGTTATTAAGATTCCCTCTGCAACTTGCGTGATTAAATGACTCATGTCATGTGGCATATGTCATGGGCTTGCACAACTTTGGCACATCTGTGCTTTTGTAGACAACAAAGCAAGAATGTGATCGTGGTCTCAAGCCCGGCCACAGAGAGGTGGTCTAAACATTCTGGAATAAACAGTTTCTGTTCATTTTTGACATTCTGTTTAAAGGCATTCTTTGCAGATGTGGGAGCTCATTCCTTCTCATTAAAGAGAACTGACTTTGTATTCCAGGCTTATTGGAGAAAGATGCTCGGGTGTGTTCAGAGGAAAGGTGCTGTGACCCTGTATTGCAGATACTTTGGCTGCCTCATGGGGGAAGACAGCAAGGATGATACGTATGCTCCACACACATGCCACCTGCCAGCACCTGTAGGTCACGCACCTGGAGGCTTGGGTCCAACTCAGAGGAGGAAAGGGCCCCAGGGAAGCTGCCCTTTGCGGTGATAAGACTATATTGAACCACATCAATTGACCATTATTCACCTGTTCTTGACCCACAAAAATGGCAACTTCAGTGACTCACCCAAATACGTTTTTCAAAAATGGAAGCAGAATATAAGATCCTGCCTTGCCTCCTGTCTTTTTTCTTTTCTCTCTCACTTTATTTTCTTAAATAAAAATCTACTTACTGCCAACTTGGCTCCGGGCCCTAATTAGGAAGAGCTGACTCAGTTTCTTTCTTCTGCGTGTTCCCAACTTAACTTTAATTTTCCTGCTATCACAGCATTGTAGAATTCTCAGAGCAGACTGCAGCAGCCAACCCAAAATAGATGGTTCACAAAAGCCTCGGGCACCTCGGAGAGCTAATCCTAGTTTCATTCTTCATCTGAGACATTTCTCAAGAGGATGCTGACCGTTAATGGTGGCTGTGTGCCTTGTGGTCTAGGCTACAAGTCCCTTGGGGTGTGAGACCTCAAGCTCTGAAAATAGCTCCTGTTCACTGGCCCCTAATCCTTAATCATCTGCTTGTCTCATGCAGTGGTTTGAGTTTTTCCACAGAGGACATAAAAATGAACAAATACAATGTACTACCTATTTTTTCCTGGCACGTGGTAAAAGGGCAAAGACTCCAGAAGGACTAGGTGGAATGGAAATAGTGTGGTGAATGTGGAGGAGAAATGATACGGGTTGACCTGGAACTGGGCATCAGTTGCCCACAACTTTGCAGTTAATGAGAAAATTGAATTTGTGTGGAGAGATGACCACTTAAGCGAGGACCAGTACAGGCTGGGGAGCCAAGCAAGGAGCCAGGACCCCACAGTGGACATAAACGGTGCTGGCAGGGTGTGAGGTCCCCGCCACGCCCTTCCACCTGGCCACAGGATGAAGCTATCTGGACTCTCTTTCTGCCAACCGGTGACTCAGGCACCAACCTTCTGGAGTTGCACTGGCATACGCAGTATGAATGCTCTCATTCCCTCTGCATGCCACGTGGTCACATATGCACTTGCAGCGCCTGGGCTCACAGAAGTCTGGCTGCACACCCTGCAGCAAGTGTTCCTCCAGCCAGCCCCCACCCAGTGGCAGGTCTCTGGAGATCTCACCTTTAGAGGTCCTGAGGGCCAGCAGCGCTCCTGCTACCTCCTTCCACTTTTTGGATCACGTGTGCGGGATGGAGTCCACGCTGGCCAGCCATCGAATCTTGGTGCCCCAGTAACCAGCCACGGATGGGTGATGTGTGTAGACACACACCCTGAGCCCAGAGACCCAGAAGCCTCTGTGGCAGCTGCCTCCAAGAGGCGGTGCAAAGCCAGTTTTTATGCACAAGGCTGTAGTTGCCTGTCTGATAACCAGGTAAGCTGCCAGCAGGAGGGGAAG